GATTGATTGATTGATTGATTGATTGATTGATTGGTGGATTGATTGATTGATCCAATGGTGCTTTTCGAACTTTTTTTTTTTTTTTTAATCGATCGATTGACATAAAAAAAAATAAAAAAATTGATCCGGGCGGTATGGGACCGAACGCGTGATTGGTTGGACCGCGAGGAGGAGGAAAGGGCCGAGGAGGAGGAGGAGGAGGAGGAGGAGGAGAGAAGGAGAGGAGGAAGGAGGAGGATCGCCGAGGAGGAGGAAGAAGGATCGGCGAGGAGGAGGAAGAAGGAGGAGGCGGCAGAGGAGGAGGAGGCAGAGGAGGAGGAAAAGGAGGAGGAGGAGGCGAGGAGGAGGAGGAGGAGGAAGGAGCATCGCCGAGGAGGAGGAGGAGAAAAGAAGGAGGATCGTCGAGGAGGAGGAGGAGGAGGAGAAAGAAGGAGGAAGGAGGAGGAAGGGGGAGGATCGACGAGGAGGAGGCGGAGGAGGGAGAGGAGGAGAGAATGAGCATCGCCGAGGAGGAGGAGGAGGAGGAGGAGGAGGAGGAGGAGGAGGAGAGAAGGAGGAAGGAGGAGGAAGGGGGATCGCTGAGGAGGAGGAGGAGGAGGAGAGGAGGAAGGAGGAGGATCGCCGAGGAGGATGGAGGATCGCCGAGCACGAGGAGGGAGGAGGAGGCCGAGCAGAGGGGAGCGACTTTGGATATTGTGTTTGTGTGGCCTGAGGGCTTGAACATTGGCTCATTACTTCATTGTATTGGTCGATTTGGATGGATTCTCAAGGCTTATGTGCTCTCTGCTTGCACACGACTACTTGGACATCTCTGTGATTTCGCAACTAGGCTTTCTGTATATATCGTTCACACTCATATTCCTTGTAAATCAATCAATCAATCAATCGAAATCGAATCGATTGATTCGATTGGATCTTGATTTTCGAATTCAAGATCCAATCGAAAATCAAGATCCAATCGAATCAATCGATTCGATTGGGTAATAATTTTTTTATTTTTTTTTTCGATTGATTGATTGATTGATTGATTGATTGATTGATTGATTCGATGGATTGAGTGATTGATTGATTGATTGATTGATTGATTGATTGATTGATTAATTGATTGATTGATCCGATGGTGCTTTTCAAACTTTTTTTTTTTTTTTTTATCGATCGATTGACGGAAAAAAAAAACAAAAATTTGATCCGGGCGGTATGGGGCCGAACTCGTAATGGGTTGGACTGCGAGGAGGAGGAAAGGGCGGAGGGGGAGGAGGAGGAGGAGGAGGAGAGAAGGAGAAGAGGAAGGAGGAGGATCGTTGAGGAGGAGGAATAAGGATCGGCGAGGAGGAGGATGGAGGAGGAGGCGGCGGAAGAGGAGGAGGAGGAGGACGAGGAAGAGGAGTAGAAGAGGAGGAGGAGGAGAGGAGGAGGAGGAGGAAGGAGCATCGCCGAGGAGGAGGAGGAGGAGAAGAGAAGGCGAATCGCTGAGGAGGAGGAGGATGAGGAGGAGGAGGAGGAGGAGAAAGAAGGAGGAAGGAGGAGGAAGGAGGAGGATCGACGAGGAGGAGGCGGAGGAGGGAGAGGAGGGAGAGGAGGAGAGAAGGAGTATCGCCGAGGAGGAGGAGGAGGAGGAGAGAAGAAGGAAGGAGGAGGACCGCCGAGGAGGAGGAAGGGGGATCGCCGAGGAGGAGGAGGAGGAGGAAAGAAGGAGGAAGGAGGAGGATCGTCGAGGAGGATGGAGGATCGCCGAGCAGGAGGAGGGAGGAGGAGGCCGAGCAGAGGGGAGCGACTTTGGATACAGTGTTGGTGTGGCCTGAGGGCTTGAACATTGACTCATTTCTTCATTGTATTGGTCTATTCGGATGGATTCTCAGCGCTTATGTGCTCTCTGCTTGCACACGACTTCTTGGACATTTGTGTGATTTGGGAACTAGGCTTTTTGTATATCGTTCATTTGTGAGACTACTCAAGAGCTGCATGACTTCATGGTATCATTGATGAGGGTCACGATTGGGCCTGCTTTGGTCCTCCCCTCATACACGGACATGCGCACGCGCCTCCTCGACGAGATTTATCACGAGATAGCAGAGAGGGTCGCTCCGAAGAAGGCAAAGTGGAAGTTGATGGGGTGTACGATGATGACGGACGAAGCAACGACAAGGTCATACAAGCCTATCGTCAACTTCATAGCGGCAGGCGAGGACGGGCCCGTGTTGATCACCACCGTTGACATGTCGGAGAGAGAAAAGACTGGACTAACACTTGCAAAGTTGTGAGAGGAGGTCATCCGCGGTACCAATGTTAAGCATGTCAATGCTTATTGCACTGACAACGCTTATGCGAACGAGGTGGCTGCACATCGGTTGCAATACCATCCGGACAAAGACATTTCCCGGATCCCTTGGTTCCCCTGTGCAGTCCATTGCTTGAATCTCCTCCTGCGCGACATCACACGTTTCTTGTGGGTGCGCCCGATCTTGAAGAACACACACAAGGTTGTGATGTTCTTCAAGAATATTCACAAGGCTCTCTCGTATCATCGGTCCTTCAAGGAGCAGGGGCAGATGGAGCTGATCCGACCATATGACACACGGTTCGGGTCAGCGTATCAGATGGTGGAGCGACTCACCGATCAGGAGAGGATATTGCGGATGGTCGTCGGCAGTGTGAGATGGCGGAGCACCCTCTGGAGGGGGAAGGCAGGGCAGGATGAGCGCCCTGTTCGACAACTTGTGTTATCGACTTCATTTTGGGATAGTGCGCACCGCGTGCACGATGTCATGAGGCCAGCTTATAGCGTGTTGCGTTCCATGGACAGAGACGGTTCCTCCCCCCCCACCCTTTGGGCGTTTGTCGAGAGTATCGCAGCGCGTGTGCACGACATGGGCCTACCAGAGGCATACGAGACTGAGATTATGAAGAGGGTTGACTACCGTTGCGGCATGATGCGCCAGCCAGCGCATGCGCTCGCATACCTTGTTGACCCACGACGGTGTGATGTGAGTCTCCTCGTTGACACTGACAGCGAACTGGTGCAGAGCGCACTGCACCATTTGGGAACATACGCGGACGGTGGAGCGGGGTCAGAGGAGCATACTACGATGTGGTACGGCTTGTACTTGTTCCACCATGATGATCCCCACGCGGACCCTAGGCCCAAATGGTGGACAAACCCCGTTGCGATCGCACAGGTCAAGCACGGGGTGCACCCCGCCTGGTGGTGGTACTTGCACGGTGGTGACTTCCCGCGGCTGCAGGAAGTCGCCATCAAGGTGCTTGCCATGTGGTCCATTGCCTCTCCATGTGAGAGGAATTGGGCCACWCATGACTTCATCCACACAAAGAGGCGCAACTGACTCTCTAGTGATAGTCTGTGAAAGTTCGTGTTCATTCATTGGAACATGCAGCTTCTGAGAGCACGGTCGACTACCCGGAAGGGGTATGTGGATGTGTGGGTGGATATGGTGGAGGAGCCGCCAGAGCCAGCGGTAGGCGATCCTTGAGAGGAGGTGTACGCCGAGGGCATGTCAACTCCGGAGGAGGTGGAGGCTGACATGGGCACCCGGAGCAAGGAGGGGGGTGATCGTGCCAGTGCGCGCCTGTTGCAGGCGCAAGATGATTACGATGTGGAGGATGAGGATGTCATTTACGATGCGTATGGCGTATGGGCAGGGAAGGACATGATTGAGGAGATTGCAACCACGGGGAAGGGGAAAAAAAAGGTGCACGATGACCCGCTAGTGTCTCGTGTGCGGGACAGGTGGGGGGGCCTCGATGTTGTGGAGCACCTCGACGGGTTCCTGCATGGCTCCAGACACACCCTTCATATCATGAAGGACATTGAGGAGTGTCACAGGCCGGAGGGGGGGAGCAGACAGGTTGATGAGGGTCATCATGTGGACACAGGCTTTCATTCTACTATTTTTGACGGCAAGGCAGGTTGAAGTGCCACAGCCACGGGCGCAGGGTCGACACGCACGCCTCATATGTCAGTACCCCCCCCCAGCACTCCGTTGTTTGACATGCCTCTCGATGATGGGGCAGCCAGACGACCTTCAGAGGGACCTCTCCTACAGACYGTAGCAGAGGACGCGTGTCCCGATGTTGGGGAGCAGGAGGCATCTCATGACAGGGAGGAGGTGTGTCCCGGTGTTGACGAGCAGGAGGCAGCTCCCGACATGGAGGAGCAGGAGGAGGCTGCCATGACCCATGAGCAGCCTTGTCTCATTTAAGAGGAGATGGGGACAGGTCAGACCGAGCATGCCTCCCCTGCACCCACCATCTCGGAGATGACACCTGTTGTCGGGGAGGGCGTGAGAGGACGTGAGCCCGATCAGCCGTGCGACATGGAGACAGGTACAGACGCGACTGCCGCACACCCACGGTCTACAGCGGGGCGAGATGTTATGACCCAGCAGGGCAGTGAGCCAGACACAGAGAGAGAGGTGCAGAGTCTGCAGACTTCAGTACAGCCCCCTCCCATTGCCGATCACGTCGCTCCCGCATGGACACATCCCCCTCCCACATTTGAGAGCATAGAGGCACAGAGCGTTGACGACAATGATTGGAGAGAGCCTTGCCACTACGGCGAATTCCGACACGCTTCGACCCATGTCATTCTATACAGCTCCTCCTCTGCCCGTCTTGCACCGGTCTGTTGTGGTGCGAGGACCCGGATTGGCTCTCCCCTCCCATTCATCTTCTCGTGTGGCCACGGCTACAGTCGGACGATTATCATCATTCAACAGCAGTGTAATTGTAGGTTCACACGATGGCAGTGGTGGTTTGTCGATGCCTCCACTTGCTCGGGGTCATTCACAGCCTGCGCGCAGGGGATCGGTCAATTCGTCTACGATTCCTCCACTCCCCGCCCGAGTGTCATCGATCATTGTTGACAACACCGCGACAAGAGGGAAGAAGAGGAAGACCGCTGATACATGTGAGGTAGAGCATTCACAAGCACAGAGACCTCCGGGGCGAGGTAGACCACGGGGGCGCCCCCCAGGGGGTCGATCTGGCAGGGGTAGAGGGAGGCAGGGTGTCGTTGGAGCGACGGAGAGGCTGTTGGGATCATTGGGTGCCATTGGTGGTGGTTCGCCATCACCCATATCCGTGGACGAAGTGAGGACTCGATCTCGTGCTGTTGTGGGGAAGAGGACGCATGCCGATGTTGAGGATAATGATGGCACTGATGAGCAGGCCAGCAGTGACGGGTCTGAGAGCGTATATGAGGCACCACCACAGGCCTCATCATGGCCCTCATGTGATGATGGCGACGATGACGATGGACGGCATGATGATGATGATGCCATGGCAGAGGACAATACACTGGTTGATGGGTGCTGATGTATTTGAGAGAGAGAGAGAGAGAGAGAGAGAGAGAGAGAGAGAGAGAGAGAGAGAGAGAGAGAGAGAGAG